TAACTTTGAAGCACAGCTCACTGGCTAGCCGTTGTAGATGCCACAAGGACTTCTACTGGCTTCTAGAACTAAAAATTTCAAAGAGAAATACAAATCATAATACATAAATAACAGTGTAGATCAATTTGTTTGTGCATAACAAAGATACTGAACTGGAATCCAGAAACAAGGCTGTTTTATTGTATACCAAATTCTTACATTTCTTTTCTTTTTAGCCTCTTATTGTTTAATTGATTAAATATAAATTGCATAATAACCTTTTATATTCAATAGTGTCTATATGGAATGAAATCGCTGGATGAATTCAAGTATTTACTTCTACCCTGGTGGCTATTCTTTTTAGTGCTTCCATACTAACAATATTAATGACTTTTTTTGGGGAGTATTATTATGCTCTTTTGATGCCATGATATATATATATTTTCTGACATTTATTGTATTACACTGTGCTCACCTTGCTCTGTTGGAGAATGTAATCTGTTCATGCCCAGTGTTGGGGGTAACACATTACAAGTAAAGCAAGATACTATCAATTACTTTTTCACATAACTAGTAAAATAATGCATTAATTTTAAAGTTACTTTTTCAGATAAGTAACGCAAGTTACTTTGTTTTCCTATTTATTCTCTGACATCTCTCCTGTCTCGTGTTGAGAGAAATTGTGAGGTGCAGAGGCACTTCCTTTAATTTGACTTTTGGTGTGAAAGGGCCATTAAGAGTTGGCAAAAAAATATAACTTTTGGGTTGAGAAGCAAGCCCAGCCCAAAAGTAGTGCATTACTTTCCATTAAAAGTAAGAAATGCAATATTGTAATGCATTAGTTTTAAAAGTAACTTTCCCCAACACTGTTCATGTCAAACATCATAACAGGATGACAAGTGATGGAAGCGACTATGTCAGTAGAACAGTGGTTGGAATATGAGAAACTGCTGATCTCCTGGGACCATCCAGTGAGCCACAGTTCTGTATAAGGTCAAGGGAGAATGGCTTGACCTTGGATCACAACAGTGTAAAGCAGAAAAACATGTCTGGATGAACATCACATCAATCTCTGGAAGTCAGCAAAGAAAAGAAAACTCGCAACATCACTTCAGTGTGATCTCCAGAATTTGTAAGGATTTTTTTTCCAGCACTTTGCTGAATCGAGGTGTAACTAATAAAGTGAGCACTGTGTGTGTTATCTGCAGTATAATAATAGTGCACTGAAGAGGCCAGAGTTCATCAGTTACAAGGCAAAGGAGATTTTTCAGTGAACAAATGCTTGGTTGTTCAAACACAATCTTTATTTAAGCAATGACTCTTTGCAGATGTGCTTCTAAAACAGTTCCTGATCCGAAAGTGTGACGCTGCCCTCTACTGGTAAACATGAACATTGCAATACTTTGTCTGATTTGTTATATTATTGTTATACAGTGTCTGGTGTTGATAACCCATTCCGAATGAAACCTGGGAAGATATTTCAGTTGATTATTTGCTGCAAAAATCAGTTTCCCTGCCACAAGCAGTGAGTGTGTTGCTGTAGGAAGAGGTAACAACTCATGAGCATAATAATAATAAAAGATATGCATTAAAGGCAGTATGATGAGTTTCTATAGATACAATATATTCCACGCTAAGCACTATAGCTCAGGCTGCTACAGTCACTGCTGCATGGCCCAGACACATGGATGTTGCGTTTGAATGCAGTAAGATTAAGATTTTCTTAGCTGAAGACAACCAAAGCCCTTCGGAAAAGAGTGAGAAATCAATGCATCTCATGAGATAAAGTGATGCACATTCAATTTGGTTCATAAGAACAGCAAGTCGTACAATCAACAGGCAGTGAAAGTGCTAACTGACATCCATTATTATTATACTTAAAGTCCTGACCAATCGCAAAATGCACTGGTAACTGATGCATAAATATAAATGCCTAAATATGTATTCAATTATCCAAAATCCAATATAAAAGATGCTTTTCGGTTGTATAAATGTGTATTAAAATGACATTCAGATCTCAGATTTGCAGATTTGAGGATTCCATTAATGTTCAAAATAGAAAGCACATCGGTACAAAAGCTTGATGCATGAACACAAACTGAACAGCTTGTGTGTGTGTGTGTGTGTGTGTGTGTGTGGGTGGGGACATGAATTGCTAAAGTCCCAAAAACCCACTAGCAAGCCCATCTTGGCATTTAAAGGGGTGTGGCCTAAATGCACTCTGGCCAATCAGAAGGCCTGGAGGATGAGGAGTTTTGTGCAGGAGCTCGGCAAAAATTCTAGTCTCTATGCAAACTCCCCTGGCTAGTGTACACTTCAAAATAAGAACCGAAAGAATGAAGAGTTTTAAGAATCTCTCAAGTCAGCGGGAAATAACTGCAGATGAAGGTTGACCCCCGATGTAAACACAACAGCGATCTTCCCTTTAGCCTGTGTTAGCCAACCTGCCACTGGAGAGAAAGAGAAAGAGAGAGAGAGAGAAAAATCGGGACCTATCATGTGCAATACAAAACTAATCATAACTGTCTTCACGAGTTTAGGGAATTAACATCAAATATCAATGAAAGACGATACCTAACCTTTAGGAAATGTTGTCCAGCTCAGAGGGTCAAACCAAATATTATATGAAATAAATTCTATTTATTTTCTATGAGGTTTGCAAGTTTGTCATCTGTACCTACATTCAACTCTAATGGTCCTATAAAACGCCTGTTCTGTTGTTGTTGTTTATTTGCTATATGTTTAGATAAAACCAATCAATTACTTTACCTAATAAATAAATTAAAAATATATATATATTTTAGTTTTAAAAGGCTGCATTTGTTTGATCAATATAATTAAAATGCAAATGTTCATTCGATTAAATACTATTAGCATTTTAAATAACTTTATATATATATATATATATATATGTGTGTGTGTGTGTGTGTGTGTGTGTGTGTGAGATGTAAAGCTGTATTTTCAGCATCATTACTCCAGTCTTCAGTGTCACATGATCCCTCAGAAGTCATTCTAATATGCTGATTTAATGTTATGTTATGTTATGTTATGTTATATATTATATTCTTATTATTATCCATATCTTATATGTTGAAATCAGGTGTGCTGCATATTTTTTATTTTTGGAAACTATAATACTTGTTTTCAGGATTCTTTGATTAATAAAGCACATTTATTTAAAATCGTTTGTAACATACTGTAAACGTCTTTACAGTCACTTTTGATAAATTTCATGCATGCTGAATGAAAAAAAAAATCAGATTTTAAATATTAAAAATATGCATATTACTGACCCTGAATATTTGAATGGTAGTTGATTTTCGTTTGTTTTTTGAAGTGATATTGATTCATGCATTAAAATTTAATTATAACTGTATTTTGTATTTAAAAAATATATATAAATTCACAGGTCATGACCTCTGATGTGGGACATCTGATACTGACTTTTGATAAAAAAATACCTATTATCATGCTAGATGAAAGTTACTCTAAATACCTTTATTACATAATACATATTAAATAATAGTAATAATATTGGGACAAGAATCTGTGCTCTATTTGTGTAAATAATACAAATGAAAATAATGTGTGTACCTTTAGCCCACCGCCTCCAGAAGGTGCAGAGTTCATGGTCTGTTTCTCTGTCTCTTCTTGTTTCTTCTTTTTCCTCTCCAAGGCTTTGGGGTCTTTGATACCTCTGTAGGTGGTCTACACACAGATCAGACGAAATACAGCTACCACACCATACATTTCAGAGATAAATCCAAACATGAGCCAGTCCAGTAGTTGCAGAGCGTGATATTATTCAGTGCTCATGTGCCGAATCATAGTGCACCATAAACAAGCTGGAAATGTGAGTATACTGAAATACAACAACTAGCCGATCAAAAGAAATAATCATATTGTATCAGACTGTAAGGCTACAAGCACTGTGACATTACAGCAGCAGTGAGAACCGGGCTCATTCTGACATGACCTCACAGATGTCTGTCGTGGTGTTTCAGCCGTAGAGTGTTTGAGGAGACAGCAGAACGAGGACGTGTACTTACCGCTGCGCTTTGCCTTAAACCTTGAAGAGACAGTAAAACAGCCCAGCAATTACATGTGGGCAAATTAAAAGCACTATTGCATTAAACACTCGGTTTTTAAAAAGGATCATGTTCTCCTAACAGTTATTTGTTGCCTTGAAAAAAACTGAAGAATGACTAAAAGCACAAAAATGTAGAGCAGGAAGTTGTGATGCTCATACAGTTATTATAAAGTGATACCTATAGATTACAGTATTGCATATGTATATTCTGTGGTGCTGCTAAGACTGAGTCCAGTTACATAATCGATGCTATGAATTTGATCATTTGTGGATCATTAGTGGTCACCAACTCAGGTCATCATAATTAGAGGTCGACCGATAGTGGATTTTGCCGATACCGATAGCTAGGTTGGACCACACTGGCCGATACCGATTAATTAACCGATTGTTTTAAAATTGATACTGAACAAAAACTAAAATAGTGCTTTATTAGCAAAAACAGTACTGAACCATACTAATAGTAGTAGTAAAAATAATAATAATAGTAATAGTAAATGTTGAAATTAACACCCTCTAACAAGGAACAATACTTACACAGCTTTCATTAATCTTAATGCTACAACTGGACTCTTATTTTAAAGTGTTACCATTTCATTTCAACTGATCATGCTTAAAGATGCACATCTTTAAATATATACACAAAGGCTATAGCAGTAAAATTATATACATATGGATATTGTATGTATACTCTCACACTTTAACTTCTTCTATCCTTGAACACTTGATGATTATCTAATCAAAATATAAGTGCAGCGCTGAGTCTAGGAGAACTCACACTCCGGACGCGTGGCGTTCAACTCAAGCAGCGGTCTAAAACAGTTTATTTAATCACCAAACAGACACAAGTTTACTTCAAGAGTGAATAATTTGACATGGACGAGTTTGAAGTTCGGCGTTTAAAAAAACGGAGCAAACGGAAAGAGAAAGCACGACCTATATTATAGCTCTATAAATGAAGCACACAGACTTTATTAGAGCCACAGAAAGACAAACGTTTTGCTGAAAATGCACAATACACAATTCATTATGTACATTAACAGCGATTCGGGACCAATATAATGTAATTTAAAGGAAAACTATGTGAATGGTGTTTAAATCCGCATCTGAAGTTTCCCGCTCTGTTCAGCGTGCAGTATCACGTGTCTAAACAAATAACACGTGCGGTCAGTGATTTGAACCACTAGAGGGCGCTCTCGCACTGTGTAATGACAGCAGACCCTTCTCAGCCGCTCCAGCGACGGACGCAACCCGGAAAACTATCGGCATGGATTTTTGCCGATAACCGATAGTTCCAGCAATCAACTATCGGTGCCGATTAATCGGCAAAACCGATACATCGGTCGACCTCTAATCATAATTGCTCAAATCCTGAGTTTGTCCTGATCCAGAAATAATAATGGCTCAAAATCCCCACCAATATTTGATAAACGGGGTATTTCAAGTTCATTTTCAAGGTCATGCTCAGCTTAAATAGTGTTTATCTAACAACAGCTCTTTTCTAAGGTGCTTGTAAAACTTATTTGTGCTTGTCTATTTCACAATATAGAAACTAAACTAAACTAAACAGCCATTAAAACGGTTACCATTTCTGTGTGTAATGCTGTCAGACATCAGTGTCACATCACCTCTTTCTGTCTCTTCTCTGCAGCCTCCGCTAGCTGTCTTCTCCTCGTCTCCTGTGGAAAAGAACAGAAATGTATATATATATATATATATATATTTTTTTTTTTAACAAAACTGACATTTTATTCATTTTGAAGTAACAATCTAATTTAAAACAATTTAATTAATAAAAAGTATTCTAATAATTATTATAAGTGAATGAATTAGCAGACACTGAAGGAAAAGTAATCAATAATGTTTAAACCTGATGAAGCTGGTCATTCTATACTTTCATTCCTGTGTTTTCATAATGTTGGTAATGACGAACCATCGTTATGTTTGCTTTCTCGCGCTCGTTTTGTTTTTGTTAAGGAAACAGAAACCATACTGTACAAACACCTTCAGGAGAACTTCAACGTTCACAGAAAAATAATAAAAAAACTTCACAAATAACAAACAAGAACACACAAACACAGGTAAAAACACCCATACATAAGCAAAATAAACAACTGAATGAATACACTAAAAAATATACATTAAAAATATAATAAAATTATGATTTAAAAAATATTTTACTTAAAAAAAGTAATAATTAACTGAATAAAATAAAATGGAAAACAATGGCCAGCCAGGGAAGTGGACTGATACTCACGTTACCAGAATATTTCTTTCTAGTCATTATTACCAGTTAAACCGTGAGAACAAAAACTAAAGAAGAAGATATATTTCACGTTGAAAGGGTTAGTAGCCTAATAGCAAATAATAGGCTATATTTTAAATAAAGATTTGGCAACAATCAGTGGGTTTAAATCAATGAGAGAATAAATCACACCAACTACATTCCACAATAAACAAAAACAATAACGTTTTATCATTAAGGTTTCATTCATAATGTCACGGGAAGCCCTGATTATTTGATGTACAGCTGCAGTTGTGTTCGGCTGTAAAATGAACAGACTGCAACATGATAAGAAAGTCTAGCATTTGAAATATGAAGACAGTTAAGGTGTAAAGCCGATGAATGCACACAAACAAAAAAACAATATACTTCAAAAAGGTATCTTCAGTGTAATGGATAAATAAAATAATATATAATAAATAATGTAAGAAAGTAAAATTAAAAAGCTGAAGCCTTCTTGCACTGGCTGTGCTGGTTTCAGCCTCATTGCCGGCAGCAGTCATGTCCTCATCTCATATATAAAACACCTCTGATTCACAAATACTTGCTAAGGAACTCGCATTCACATAAAGTAGTCTTGTTGACAAGTTTGGGTGAGTAAGGGCAAAACGCACAAGATGCAGTACTTTCAGTGACCTGTAACAGGCAGTATCACGTCTTTTGTAGCAGAAATAAACTGCTGCAGAAAAAGCTAGGTCCATGCAAAATGTAATGTGTAACTGCAACACTCATTTCAAATTTAGTGGAGCAAAGTGTACAGATATTCAAAAATGTAGTGAAGAAGAGAGTAAAAGTTGCTAATATCTTTGATACTCAGTACAACTACAAAGTATCCAAAAATATACTCAAGTACAGTAACTAATTACATTTACTCCAATACTTTACACCTCTGGTATATAGTAGGGGTTGCACCGACTAATCAACTAGTCGACTTCAAGCTTAAAGCGTCATGGCAGAGCATTGAAGTCGACTAGTCGATTAGTCGGTGGTCGCTGGTCCTATAGAGGGCGCAACAGGATAAGAAATCTTTGAAGGACTTCCACATTTACGCTCCGTTTCCGAACAGTTAAAATGACAAATAAATGCATACTCTGAAAGCGCTCCACAAGACATGTCAAGTCAAGTCACCTTTATTTATATAGCGCTTTTAACAATACAGATTGTGTCAAAGCAACTGAACAGCATTAATTAGGTGTCAATAATGCAAAATGACAATAGTAAACACTCATTTACATGTGTGATTATATTACTGGATGCTCGAAATTGAATGGGAGAATGCACGTTTTAAACAGCTTATTGTAGAGGTAAGTTCATCGCCGATCTAATCTAATGCGCTGCTGCACTGTAACGCACACACATTACAGTAGCTCGTACATCACGCACACATATGTATTGTCAACACTGTTCTGTGATTTCTCAATAAAATAGCTTAGAAACTGAAAAGTTCTAGCATATATTTCTTAATAACTAAATCCCACAGCTTCACTACTAGTAGAGAGACGCTGCCAGGTAGAATTAATTCACACACGCAGTCGCTCTCACTAATGCATTCATATGAATGTAATCTTTACTGTGCTTTTTCTGTATCTGATTTAGAACGAGCAGAAATCTGTGAGAAATATAACGACCCAAAGACAAAATAACTGATAAAAAAGCTGTTATAGGAGCAATAGCCATGTAGGCAGCTCTGTGTCATATGCCATAGCTGTGCACAAGCTGTTTATCACAGCTCCAGACTTATTTGTTCGACTCGACTTCCATCACATAAAAGTCGACTTTAAAAAAATCAGAAGTCGTTCAACCCCTAGTATATACACTGTCAACAAACAGACTTCATTCTGGCTATTACTTCTCAGTCTACTCTTAGTATCTTGGGCTTGACTGGATTCGTTCAGAAGACTCAACAACCCCTTCTATTCTCTCTAACAACTTCCCTTTCTCTATTTATCACTTTCCTTGTCAACTGGGCACCTTTACAGAGGAGCTGAATGGGCTGTTGTCCTCATTCTTTGGGGATGGCAGTCCACTTGTAGTCTTTGGTGACATCAACATCCATCTGGAGAAGCCTTACACTGCAGCCTTACACTGACTCACACATGCAATGTATCACAGACAACATTTTGGGAAAGACATCTCTGATCATTTATTTATTACATTATTACATCTAAATTACATTTATTACTCATCTCTTTATCTTTCTGCACTGGCTACCGGTTGCGTCTCGCATCAAGTTCAAGACATTGATACTTGCATATAAAACAGCCACAGGCTCAGCACCTGCCTACTTCCACTCACTCTTAGGAGTCTACATTCCTTCCAGAAGCCTGAGATCTGTAAGTAAGTGACGCCTCATTGTACCATCACAGAGAGGCACAAAATCACTTTCCAGAACATTTTCATTCACAGTTCCTGGCTGGTGGAATGATCTTCCCACAATCACAGTAATTAACAGAACACCCGACATGTTATCCGACAGCAACATTAATTTAATCCCATACCTGACCCGTTTTACATAAAAACTGTGACCCGGACATCTCCCACATTAAATCTCCTACATGAGGTAGACAAAACTAATTTATTCAAACTTTCATTTAAATTGTGAATAAATTATATACAGAAAGCAAGCAAAGAGCTCTCCCTATAATATAATCACTACAGCTGTAAATCATTTGCAGCACGATTGGCTACCTGTCACCATCTGGCCCGCACCCACACCCAACACATAAATATTTTTTTACCCATTACATCAAATATTAGTGGTTCACTTGCGTGTACCCACCAGCTTTCAGGACTCTGGCTTCCCCCTTGTGGACACCAACATAATAGACAACTCTGACCCAGAGGGTGATTGTAAATTAAGTTTACATGAAATATGATTGAAATTTCAATCTGCATCTTTTGAGATTTTATTGCGATTTTATCGTAATCCTTCTCATAAAGTCACTGAATTCACCATCAACTGTTCACCTGATAGTGTTGCCGTCTGCATTTCATGTTAGAGCATTGTTGAGAGAGAACAAGAATCGCTCCCACTTTGTATTAAGTGGCCTTAACTACTATGTACTTACATTTAAATTAATCATTTGGTACAATGCACTTATCGTGTACATACATGTTTTTACATTGTACTTATATTTGAAATATATCTGCATGTAATCACATCTGTAATTAATTTCTGTAATTACGTTTATAATTACACTGTTGACCCATCCCTTACACCTTAACCCACCCTTAAACCTACCCATACCACCAAATCTGTCCCTAACCTTACCCATATCCCACCTCAATAGCAGCAGAAGTGTTTTGCAATACAATATGAACACAATAAGTACATTGTACTTATTTTTGATGTAAGTACATAGTAGTTAAGGCCACTTAATATAAAGTGGGACCCAAGAATCTATAGGAAAAACATACTGCTGCCTACCTGACTCTGCCTGACAGGTAAGGAAAAATACACTTACCTGAGATGATTTTTTTTCTCGGAAACATATGATTGTATTCATGAAAACAATCTTTTATTGTATTATTGAATAAAATACTGGTTAATTATCAAAGAAAGAAAATATGAATAGCCATAATATGGACCATTATAAATGCTGTGATACTGTGATTTCCTTCTCACATGGTTGATTTCACTATTAACTGTTCACCTGAACAGTTTATGTTGTTGTATGGGGTATCATTGTAATCCTTGACCATCAAAACATAGGGGTAGACATCACTTTTCCTGTGTTATCATGTTTGGTTCAGGAGATATGACACAACATACAACCTACGATGTGTTCCTGTGGCTCAGTGGTAGAGCATTGCGTTAGCAGCGCAAAAGCTCGCGGGTTCAATTCCCAGGGAACACACATACTGGAAAAAAAATGTGTAGCCTGAATGCACTGTAAGTTGCTTTGGATAAAAGCGTCTGCTAAATGCATAAATTAATCAATTAAATTAAAATACATAATTTGGTTATGGTGGAAAGTTAAATGGTTGCCATGGCCACCATGAGGTGTTTTTGTGATGGCTCCATTTCTGAAAATGTTCAGGACCACAGACTATACAAGTGTACCACGTTTCATGCTTTTATGAAAAAGTGAACTTTTTTTTTTTTTTATCACCAGGACTGGGACAGTTGAAATTTAGTTCAGGAGCATTCATATTGCTTGTAGATGTTACTACAGTTCGAGCGAAGTTAACCTGTGGCAAATTCAGTTGAATGGGTATTATTTGGACAGGCACATACATCTTAATAAAAGGTTTAACAGCGGTTAATGCATATCAGAGCAAAAACCAAGCCCTGAGGTCAAAAAACTGCCTGTAGAGCTCAGAGACATCATTGCATCAAGCCACACATCTGGGGAGGAGTTCAGAAAAATATTCTGCTGCATTGAAGGGTCACAGAAGCATGTAGTCTCTTTTACCCTTAATGGAAGAAGTTTGAAACAATCAGGACTCTTCCTATAGCTGGCCTCCTGGCCAAACTGAACAATTGATGGAGAAGGGCTTTGGTTAGCATGGTGACCAAGAAGCTGATGGTCACTCCATGATCATATGTGGAGATCGGAGAAACCTACAGAAGGACAAACATCACTACAATACTCCACTGATCTGGGCTTTATGGCGGTGTGGCCAGACTCAATCCTCTCTTCAATGAAGAC